ATACTAAAAACAAAGTGACTATTCTCTAGATAACTTATTGTACAAACCAACAATACTGAAAACAAAGTGACTGTTCTCTAGATAACTTATTGTACACACCAACAATACTGAAAACAAAGTGACTGTTCTCTAGATAATAATGTGACTGTTCTCTAGATAACTTATTGTACAAACCAAAAATACTGAAAACAAAGTGACTGTTCTCTAGATAATTTACATTACACACCAACAATACTGAAAATAATGTGACTGTTCTCTAGATAACTTATTGTACAAACCAACAATACTGAAAACAAAGTGACTGTTCTCTAGATAATTTACTGTACACAACAATAATACTGAAAACAAAGTGACTGTTCTCTAGATAACTTACTGTACACAACAACAATACTGAAAACAAAGTGACTGTTCTCTAGATAATTTACTGTACACACCAACAATACTGAAAACAAAGTGACTGTTCTCTAGATAATTTACTGTACACACCAACAATACTGAAAATAATGTGACTGTTCTCTAGATAACTTATTGTACAAACCAAAAATACTGAAAACAAAGTGACTGTTCTCTAGATAATTTACTGTACACACCAACAATACTGAAAACAAAGTGACTGTTCTCTAGATAATTTACTGTACACACCAACAATACTGAAAACAAAGTGACTGTTCTCTAGATAATTTACTGTACACATCAACAATACTGAAAATATTGTGACTGTTCTCTAGATAACTTACTGTACAAACCAAAAATACTGAAACAAAGTGACTGTTCTCTAGATAATTTACTGTACACACCAACAATACTGAAAACAAAGTGACTGTTCTCTAGATAATTTACTGCACACTCCAACAATACTGAGATCAGAATGAATGTTTTCTAGTATCATGTTGTAATGATCTTGATAAAGTAGTTTTTGTAAAAAATGTGTTTTTCCAATATTAAGAAAGTTAGGTCAACATGCCAAAACATGGTGAGTATTGTTTACAGAGTGCCATGTTGTAAATGTAATATTCTTGATAACATAATTCTGTTAAATAAACGTGTTTTTAATGTGGAGTGTAAGAAGCATGGGAAACATACAGAAATTGTATCTAACAATAGATACTGTTCGTACACAACCTCTGAATAAAAAGGAATACTTGATATTAATGTAGATGTTCAACTCTTCCAAAACTATAGAAATAATACCAGTAATACCAAAATAAACAAACCACTTACTTTTTTCTTAATGATCATAAACAGTTAAATTACTGTTCAAAATTAGGACTACATGCAGAAAAATGAAAACACTAACTACCTGGTACTGCTACAAAAAATTTAACAGAATCTCGATGACCATGGAAAGACAGCTGAGCTTGAGCCATAGAACAGTATGGGATAAAGCTATCCGAGGTGACATTTTCATTGCTATCACTGGAGACTCCCATCATCCCACCTGGTGCTTTCCCTCCAGTCTCAGCTACTTCTGGCTGCTTGTATGCTGCATGGTCAAAATAGAACAAATAACACAAGTATACAAGCATTAATGTGTTATAAAATCTTATGTTAGCATTTTTATCTTTTAAATTTCTAAAATGAGGTGAATTTCAACAGTTATATCCAGTAGTCAACATTGAATTGGTATTTTAGTTGTATGACTGCGATTACATTTCAAGAATCTTCATTACCCACCATCTTATAATGAATTTATATTTATATCTTATATGAATTTGCTTTCATGTCACATGTTATACCTGATAA